TCATACAGGCCAAACTGTTCTGGCTTGTGATTGGTATTTATTTATAATTATGAAACAATACTGGGGGAAAATAGTCAGTTAAACAAACAAATAACAAAAAAACCTAGTGAACCTTTTGGTCATTCACTCCAAACATTATTACATTTTTACAGAAGGAAGCAAATGGGTAACAGGACAACAAAAACATCTGAGATCCAATCATTTGTGGGCTTTACTCAAACTGACAGTCTCATTTCCAGAGTGTAAATAACTGTCTTGGTGTTGGAGAAAACAGTGGAGGACACAGAGAGATCATTTCATCACACTACACCACCCGCCGCACTTCGAAAAATCTCTTCAGATAGTAAATCTGTCCAAGCGTCATCGCCACCAGAACCAGAGCCTCGAAGAACGACCACAGCACCACTCTGCTGTTTGTGTTGTCGTTGACTAGAGGGAGACGAAAAGAACATTTGTGATTTTACACACTTGAATTAACACAGTACACTTTCTGTACACTCTCCTGGATCAGCCCTTACTTGCTCTGTGTATCCTCTCGCGGACCTCCATGTACTCCTGCTCATGCTTTACAGCTGTCATAGCAACCGCCAGCTCGTTGATCATCTCCTCCAGTTTGTTTTGGTGGGCTGAAACCGGAAAAAGTTAATGCGTCAGTTATAGGTCACGCAACAATTTGTGTGCACAAACTACATGCACAGGGTATGCAATACATGCATCACACTTGGGGACATGTGACGGGTGATGCTGTCCCATCAGACACTTCATAAATCATATACTTTCCTCATTGTGCAAATAGTCAAACCATTCACAAGCATCACAGCAGCTTGATTACATGTAGTAGTACTGCACAATATTAGTTTACGCTATGGAAATAACACTGGTTAAAGAAATCTCTGCAGTGCATCGCAAACTCAAAAGTCATAGCCTGCCCTGTCATGGCCCTACCATCCCAGTTGTCACCACCTAAAAAGTGGGGAAAAGGTGTCCAAAATAAAGTCACAAGAAGGGAGATATGTTGTTGAACAAGATAAAAACCAGCAGAAGACATAGAGAAACATTTCGCTGGAGCCATCTAGTGAAAGGATGTGGGACACATGCAATTCAATTTCTTAAGCTCTTCTGCAGACATATTCAGTAATAACCATGTACCTTCTGTCTCCATGTCTTGGCCTTTAGGTGCCTCTCCAATATCAATGGTGAACATGACAATCTTGGGTGTCATGGTTGACATCTTGTTGCTGAAGCAGAACTTGTAAGTCCCGTCCATGTGGGCTGCCACCGAGTACTTGCCGCTGGACTCTCTGTCGCCTTTGTAAATCTGCTTTCCATCAGGCCCTGTTATCTGGAGAGGGGGCATGTGTGAAAACACAGCGCTGCATTAGGGCAGATCATTAACAGCGTGACAGGACTGTTGACAACATATGGCCGCAGACATGTGCTGCGTCCGAGTTCACTGCACGGAGCGCGTGGATGTTTCCACAGACCACAAATCAAAAGAGCGGAGGGAATATCTCACCCCACGGTGTATTACGAGCTCAAGCATCTTTGCTGGCTATGTGATTAGCTATTGCTAGCAGGACTCAGCCGGTAGCATGCTAACACTGCACTTCCTGTATAGCTTTTAAATTATTTAGTGGTCTGTGCCACTCGATCCATAACAGAAAACGGATAAAACATCTCTGAAGTAATTCATCCATGGAATTAAAATGCTACTTGTGAGTTAAAAGCCATAAGCATGGGCATCACAGGTGTTCAGTAGACGTAACGCAGGCAGCTAACCGCTAACGTTAGCACAGGCCTTGCGATTCACCCATTGAGATGTGTTTACAAATGAAGATTTCTCTCCCCACGTCATGGCGGTGGTTTGGTATATCAGCGACATGTCTCACCTCAACGTCAATGTCCAGGAAGCCTCCCTCGGCGACCTCAAACATGAGGCCCATCTTGGTGCCGGAGTTGACCCGCTCGTAGAAGCACTCGTCGGCATGGGCGTCTATGCTAACGAAGTAGCCGGACGCGGTGGCAGACAGGACGGCCAGCAAAACAACGAGCTCCGACAGGGTAAACATGGTTCTAGTGGTGAGGAGGTGAGTCTGGCGGTATCGAGGCAATCCTCGCCTCAGTATCTCCTGCGGGAGTGCAGGAAGTCGGGTTGTACGAGTGAGTACGAGCCGCTCCGGCTGCGCTGCACCGCTCTGTGACTGCCACGTACGGGTTTAAACAGCAGCCGGCGAGGGACAAACTTCAGAGGGCGCAGGACCTGTCAATCAACCTCAACCTCAACCTCAACCTGCACACTTTGAGTTAGACCATCAAGGTGCGTGGATATAAAACACTGAAGATCCTTTCTATATCCAAAAATCATCATCAGTTATTTATTTTAAAACCTCACTTCTATCTATCTATCTATCTATCTATCTATCTATCTATCTATCTATCTATCTATCTATCTATCATGTTGAGGTGGAACCCTAAGACATATACCTCAATACCTGAGACACAACAATACAGGGAATATAACACATTTTAATTCAAACAGCAAGATAATACATGGTTACACCGATGCAAATATATTTAAAATAGAATAAAATACATATTATTATTAAAAATGTATGATTCAAAAAGAATAAATAAAATACAAAGAAATCCATTTGTAAAATTAAAAAGCATTGTAAGCAAATAATGTTGTTTAATTCATCAATCAATTAATTGCGTCAACAGTATTAGTGAATTCAGCTTGAAGTTCTGGTGAAGTCGATTCCAAGTGTGTGGAATACAGTCAAAGAAGATTTTCCTAGCTGTGTATGGATTTTTTTGGAACCTGCAGGGTAAACCATGTTTGTGATCAGGTGAAGTGACTACCATCATTCCAGGACAGCGGGTCAGAGAGATGGGGGAGGGGGAGGGCTTTTGTAAAATAGCTTTTACCTAAAAATAAATGAATGCTGATCCCTCCTCACTGAAAGAGCAGGGAGACCAGTTTTTTCTGTACAATTGGCGATGGTATGCCCCATAACTATCTCCAAGAAGAAATCCCAGTTTAATTCTCAGCTTTGACAACAACAAAAGTCAGATTCTCGTCAATGCAGATGCCAAGATATTTATAGTAATAATGTTATTGACAGACTGAAGCTATGATAGATGAATCTAGATTATCTATAGTTAAAAACTAGCAGCTCAGACATGCTTCATTGAAAATACAGGACCCCCAAATACAACCTTAATACAACAAAAGAGATTACATCTGTGTTTTACAATTAAGGCTGCTTGCATGATAATGGTTATAAAATGATCCTTAGACAAAACAACATTCTTACTTTTGTCTGCCTGGGCCGTTTAAACTATTACCCTAATGACTACATAAAAATAGAGAGGGGGGGGGGGAACACCAGTGCACTAGTTAACATAACCTGAAATACAGTTGGGAGATACAGAATGAGCCACAGGCCTTTTTCACAGCGGACATTTTTGACATGTCATCGTAGGAACAGCACAGGTGTTACAGATAACACCAACTGGCTCTTTTCAGTGAGTCGGCGTGAAGAAATCCCACGACCCTGAAACGATCATTTTCTTATTTACACTTGTGCTTTTCCCTCTGTCTGCAGTTAAAAAGGCCAATTTAACAAACAATAGAAGAAGATAACTACTGCTCACAAAATGGCACAACTGCAAGATTAAACTTTGCCAGAGAACATTTGTATTCCACTGCATGAGAGCATGTCATTGTCAGCATCAGGCAAACATGTCACAAGTGTCACCAGTCTTTTTCCCTGCTGAGTCGTGCTGTAGTGAATCCCCACACTGTGGCAGCTGTCTGCAGCGGGCGCTGGTACATTGATAATTCACTGACAGTACCACAGCTACATGTCACAACTACTTAGCACAACCTGCATTTGCGATGGCAACTGGAACTGTGGCAGCTGTCATTTCATCGAGTCAGGGATTGAGGAGAACAACTAGGCTAAACTAGTTTGTTATGGTTTATGCAGATTTTAAAGTTTTTTTTCTACCCCTAATGAATAAGGAGATTGTTCAAGATGTTGTCTTCTTTAAAAGATGAGCCTGGACATCCTCTTCAGCGCCCAAGCTTATTTGGTAATCGATTTTCAGGTCTTATTTACATTTCTTGATTTTGTCTATATCAATCAAACAATCCAACTTAATCTATATTGTTCCTTTCAAATAAATCGAATGCAGTTCAAAGTGCTTCATATCTGATTTCCAAAACATAGGATGTTAAATGAATTAAAAATGTGGATGGTACCAAAGCATTTGATAATAGAAAAGGAAATACAATTAAGATAATAAAAGATATATTTAAATTAAGAAAATAAAAACAAGCAGTAAAAACATAGGACGTAGTAAATTATACTAAGGTAAAGTAACATGGATTAAAGGTTCAGTGTGTAGAATTTAGTGACATCTAGTGGTGAAGTTGCATGTTGCCTCGCCCTCTCCTTCCAAACATGACAGAGAACCTGTGGTAGACTTCAGTTGTCATAAAAACTAATAAAAGGTGTTTAGTTTGTCCAGTTTGGGCTGCTGTAAAAAAACATGGCAGCCTCCATAGAGAGGACCTGCTCCTGATGTAAATATAAAGAATTTAAATATAAAAAATCTATTCTAGGGTAAAGAAAACACCAATTCATATGATCACTAACTAGTGAAAAATCCCAGCTAGGATTATTTCATATTAAATGTTTGCCAGAGGATCCCTGTCATTTGAGGGTTAAAAAAAAAGCAGGATCATTATTTTGTTTTAATTTACACGTAAAACAACGAATAGAAAAACACAATTAAAAAGGTTTAAATAGCAAAAGTCCCTCCAAGAGAAAAACAAGATGAGTGAGAGGTGTCATCAGTGCAGGGTTGAAGCTGAGGTGAATATCTGTTATAGGTGATCGATACTGTGATCGGGTGGAATCTGTGCGGCCTCTTTAAAATATCGCTTTATTAATAAGCTCTTGTGATGCGCATGCGCGGGGGGGTCTGTTTGATTTACTCCACGCTACACCCCGGAGGTGCCCGAGCTCTTCGGCTGAGCACCACGCGAGCCACTCGGCAGCGTCGAACGGCCGCACGGGGTGAGCACATCCGCGCACCCTGCGATTCTGTCGCATGTTTGGTGACGTCCAACAGTCGACTCGCTGTGAAGTGTTCCGAGGCCTGGAGACTTTTTTTTTTTTATTTTTCCAAACGGCCGCTCGCCTGAATCAGCGCGTGGATGCTCGGACCCCGGTGCCCGGTGTGAGCGGGTGTGAGCCGATGAAGCGCTGGACGCCGTGAACCGAGCAGAGACGGTCGGACGCGTTAGCCAGCGAGTCGAAGCTACCGCTAACTGCCAGCGAGGAAGTGAGGGAGGAACAAAAATGACATCTCGGAGGTGAGTGTGGAAAACAGCTTTCTGGAGGAAGGTGTTTAGCGGAGCTAGCTTCAACTCCGCTCCGCGGTTTGGATGTGGACGTGTCGGCGAACGGGGTCCCGGTGGGCGGACGTGTCTGGAGAGAGAAGTGAGGGCAGAGGAGTAGCTAGCAAGGGGAGCGCTTCGTGTAGCACACACCGGCAACTTGGAGCCAAGTCTGGAGATGTGCAGAAAATCCCTGTTAACGCTGCTATCAACCCCGCTGCTGTGCTCTGGTTAACTTCCCTCAGGTGTTAGCTAGTAGTGGGGCAAGTTTGAACCAGCTGCCTCCAGGATCCAGCCACTGAAAACCAACCACAACTGTTGTTATCTGAAGTAGCTCAGGTCTGTTGTGGTGTGAGCTGCCTTTGACCCCCCCCCCCCCCCCAACAGACCACAGCTACAGACAGCATCGTTCACAGAGAGCTTGATCTGGAAACAGTAAGTCCACTCCGTGTGAGGAGGAGCAACACCTCCTCCAGGCCTGACATGTACAAGTGATATAGGAGGAGCAGACAGACATGGCAGCAGTACGATATGAAGAAACAGGAAGACAGTGCAGGCACAAACATGCAACAGATTCAAATATCATGTTCCCTCCAGACATGTTTCGGGACATAAGAGAATAATCCACTGTGAATAATCCATTATAAAGATTCAGTTGTCTGGTAAGACATTCTTGATTTAACATCAACTTCTTTTTCAGTGAAAAATCCATAATTTGTGTCTAATTGCTGGACACATGACGTCCCTGTCCTCACCGAGAAGTTAATTCCCAGCTTATGTGATGGGGTGGCTTCAGTTTTCTATGTCACACTTCAATAAATTGTATATTGGAACAGTTTTGGCTTCCGAGCTGGTCACGATGCCACCGATCATGCCTGTAGATACCCGATTTAAACACAGATTTATGATGAGCACAGAGATCCAGCAGACTGCAGTGAAAACGTTCTTGTGTCAAACCGTGTCCATCAGGCCTCATCATGTACAGTGAGGGTCAAACCTCCAAGAGACCAAATAATGAGCAAAACACAAACGTTTCATGCAGAATAAAGGCAGAAAAATGTCTGTAAAACTATTCTATCTCTGGAAATAACAAAGTTAAATAAAGTTAAAAGGTATAGTTAAGGTGCATGTGCAGTTTTGGCATCTATATCATGAGCTACATTGCAGGATTATTAGACAACAGTATCGTTCGTGCCATGAACAATTACACTATGAGGAACTTTCAAAACATGGACACTCATTTAAAATTTAGGAAATTGAATATAGTGATAGTGACTCATCGGAGCTGGTCATTGTTTTCTTCCCGTCAGGTGGTTTCACCCCAACATCACAGGTGTGGAGGCTGAAAACCTCCTGCTGACTCGAGGAGTAGATGGGAGCTTTTTAGCCAGACCCAGTAAGAGTAATCCTGGAGACTTCACCCTCTCAGTACGGTAAGTGATGGCATTAACACTAAAGCAGCATATCCACAACAAAATAAAATTGAACAACTCTCCATATAAACGTGCTTGTGCTCGGTCCTACCTTGTGTGAGGGCGGACATTGATATAAAATACCCATCACCAATGATCCTGAGCCTCAGATAAAACCATTGACATTGTGTTGAATTTGAACTCAAACAATGTGCAACAGGGCAGCTGAACAGACTGAATTATATTCATACATTGCACACTTGTAAATGAATATTTTCAATATTTACAGTGGATCAAGTTACAATATGGTTGTTTTTTTTTTTACTCATTTGTGTTGGTTTTCTTACCAGCAACTCTGCCACATCAACTTTTTTTTCCAGCAGTGGTAGGCAGCTGTAAACCCACTGTACACTCCCCGAACAGAACAATGAATACAAATTCGACTGTATTAGATTTGTAATGTTGCTCTGTGTCTCCGTGTAAATAGGCGACTGTTAGCTTACACATTTGATGTAACTTAATGAGATGATATGATGTGCCAGTGTATATTCAATCTGGTTTGCTGTGAGGAAAATCAACTAATGCAGCTTTAAATGTGGTGTGTTATTCACACTATTAGATGAAGCTGGGATAGTTATGAAATCAAGTTATAAAATCTTAAGTATGAACTTTGTTAAAGGATGGTGGGAACCAGCATTACCCAAAGAAGGCTGATGAAGCTTTGCCAAAAGTTTGTGGTTTTATCTCTGTGCCTGTCCAGTCATGCATTTTTAAGATGAAGTATAAATCAGTTAAGCTGATGTAGCCAAAGTTATTTTTGTAACAGTCTCAGCTGTAAGGCCTCTCATCTCGTGCCATGTTTACTTCCTATGGAAACAAAACGTCTCCTCTTGTGGAAACAGAGACATTTCTACAGAGAGACTAGTTTCTGCTGGTTCAGACCAGCACACCAGTCTCTTCATCTGCACATCTGCCACACTTAACCAAAAGCCATCCGAAGTTACACGAGTCTTAGATCTGCCGCAAGTTCTCCTTTTCTATTTTCCATGATAATGGTGGTCACCTACACTGACTCAGCTTAGTGTATGGTTTGTGTCACAAGGAAAATGTTTCCCTTCAACATATTCACACAATGAATCACAGTCACTGAGATTGGATCGGCAGAGCGATGGCACTCATATTTTAGTGATAAAAAAAAAAAATGTTCACACTGTGGAAAAAGGGACCAGAGAATGGTTTTCATTTTGCTTTAAACAACTTTAATGTTTATTTTATAACTTAACTGTTGGTTCTAAATCAGCAAATCCTCACAAGTGATGAGTTGGAGCGAGGAAATGTTTAGTTCCAAATAAGCGTTAAATGAATCTAATCAACCAATAAATTCATAATTAATCCCTAGGTAGTACCCAAACAATATGTCATTTTCTGTAAAAATATGATTGTAAAGCTTTGATATATTTGGAGTAAAATGCAGAAGCATGAAATACAACAGGCTAAGCTAGATGTGACTGCATGTGTGATGATACTTTATACAGCAGGTCGATCTTCACTTATTAATGAGATTTGTTGAGAGCAACAAAAGTTTCCTGTCTGAGTTTTTTGTGTCATGAGGATGATGATGAGGATGAGGATGAGGATGATGATATTCCTGCCATGGATGCTCACATTTCTCACAATGACTGATCTATTGCAGGCGAAATGGAGCTGTCACCCACATTAAGATCCAAAACACAGGAGACTACTATGACCTTTATGGCGGGGAGAAGTTTGCCACTCTTGCAGAGCTGGTGCAGTATTACATGGAACATCATGGTCAATTGAAGGAGAAGAATGGAGATGTTATTGAGCTCAAGTATCCACTCAACTGTGCTGATCCCACTTCAGAGAGGTGAGTGGGCACGTTGAATGTTTTAGTTTTGTTCTTGAGTGTTGGCTTGTTCACTGTCAAGACATTACCAGGTCTGTTTTTAATCATTTCGGACTTTTATTTGTCAAGTTGCCTTTACAGATTTATTTGTTTTGTTAGAGACACACAGCATATAACAGCATCAACACCCTAAAGCCTCCAAAATTCTCAAAAAGGTAAAACTGCAACATGAGACAAAAACAACCATTATGAAGGAAAAGGATTATTATTTCTGCTACGTTCATTTTGCAGCAGCGTCCTGTGTACCATACTGTGCTGTCCTCCCTCCACATTACACACAGACCTGCAGTCACTTTACACGTTAACAAAAAACACCAATAATTAAAAGTTTACGAGACACGTATTTAAACACAGTGAAAATAAGGACATGGGTTAAAGTGACCAGAATACAGGTTTTATACATTTATTCATTAAAAAATCGTTCATTGATTGTGATCAAGGAAAAAGTTGGAAATAATCGTGATATTGATTTGACAACAAGATTCTTTTAGTCCTTTTTTAAAAAATCTCCAGTCGTGTGTTTGTATGCATTAATTTCAGAAACACTGAGACATTGCGTTATGTAAAATAACAGCTGGAAAATCGGGGTGCTATAAAGCTCTTTATTTAGGTTCCACATCTAATACACTAAATAGCTTTACAGAGAATTCCTGTGGAAGTGGGTTTTTTCCATGCTAAGAAAGAGGAACTGGCTGTGTAATGGTTATACACTGTGGCAAACTGTTTCCATTACATTCATCCACTTTGTCTTTTCCCTTCATAAAATATGTGCAGTTTTAAATCCAGTTGCTTGGTTCATTAAGAAAAATATGTGCCCATAAAAAAAACACTACCACATTTTAAATTCCCGAGAGATGAAATCAGTGTTTCCATCAATATTTTATAGTCGGTTGCTATCGCGGGCTAATAAGAGACTAGGGGAGGCGAAGCATTCCCCAAAATCATTATTGAAACATTAAGAAATTTGTGAATGACTTATATTTCTGATTGTTATTAGGAGCAAACACCAATATGATATAGTGATTCTAGGCTCAGGTTTTGACCCATAGTTATGTTCTGTAATCAACCAAACAAAGCCGACTGCAGATTTGAGGATGAGGTTTGAATGTGAAAGAAAAACAAAATGTTTGATTACACCTATCTGCAGGAAATGGTTTCTGAAAAGTAATGTGTTAGACCCTTGATTAACAGTGCTTGTAAACAATAAACACTCTCCGTTATTCATGTAAATAAAGAGTTTATTTACATGAATAAAGCAGATGTTTGGGATAAAAAGTTTATCCCAATCATCAGTGGAAGCAGATTTTTCTTTTTTCATGTGAATTGTTCTTCAGTGAGTTGAATCCAGTTGAAACATGTGTTTTTGCCAGATGGTTCCACGGGCACTTGTCGGGCAGGGAGGCTGAGAAGCTGCTGACGGAGAAAGGGAAGAATGGCAGCTTCCTGGTGAGAGAGAGCCAGAGCCATCCTGGGGATTTTGTCCTGTCAGTTCGTACAGGGGACGATAAGACGGACAGCAGTGACAGCAAACCCAAAGTCACTCACGTCATGATCCGCTGCCAGGTAAACGCACTCCTCATCTCCTCTGTCTGTCTGTCCCTGCCGGACTACAGTATTTCAATGTTACTGTAATGCATGCAGTTGTTCAGTACTGTCCAGATAAATCAAGACTTTAACACTTTTTGTGAAGGTCTGATTCTGACAGATACAGATGTTAAAGTTCGCTCCTTTATCCCTGCAGCGATCCAGGTGTATTTTACTGCTCAGTATGCATGCATGCTGTTCAGATTAAGTGTGTTATCATTAGAGGTGAGGAAACGAATGTTTTTTTCGATGCTTCGCGACGCTTGCGGACGTAGTAAATCTGCTACACCCAACACGAGACGTGCACTGTCAGGACATCAGGATTATAGTGACACAAACCATCCAGATTTATGATCCGACATCATCGATTAATAACGTAATACATGTGGTTATCACTTTTTTTCTGTTAGAGTCAGACTCACATACTGTAGAGTTTGTGACACTAGAATAAAACTTAATCAACACCTCTCATGTGAGACGGTGACATGATGTTCAGAGGGTGGAGCAGTGAGCAAAAGGGAAGTAATCCTGGAGTTGGCAGCGAAAGCTACTTCCACTTGACCCGCCTCCCGTGGTTCAAGTCAAAAACTGTCACCGAAGCCACGTGCTGATACATTTACAGAGAGCCGGAGCCATAGATTATTATTCAAAATACCAGATTCAGAAGAATGGCACTGTCCTGTGAACTGTGTCTAACAATTTCCTGCCAGTTGCATTTAAATCCTTCCTCTTTTTCATTTATTGTGTCACAGCCATGTTTGCCAATGTTTGTGGGGCAGAATTCGACTCCTTGAATGTACAGTAAATGCATTGTTTGACTTTTCTTCGACTATTATGGTGCTTACTTGTATTTGTGGCTGATGTGTCTGCGGCTTTTTATCCAGCATGACCTTAAGTATGACGTGGGTGGAGGCGAGAAGTTTGACTCCCTCACCGACTTGGTAGAGCACTACAAAAAGAACCCCATGGTGGAAACTCTGGGCACTGTGCTTCAGCTAAAACAGGTATGTCCCCATCTCTTTTCATTTGTCCTAAATAATATAATATAAGCTGACTCCCAGTCTGTCTCTGGGGTACGCTAAGGCAACGTTTCTTGATTTTTAGTTTCTGTCCTGACTCATATTCTCCTCTGCAGCCCCTGAACACTACTCGTATTAACGCAGCTGAGATTGAAAGTCGAGTTAGGGAGTTGAGCAAACAAGCAGAGGCCACAGACAAGTTCAAACAGGGCTTCTGGGAAGAATTTGAGGTGAGTGGTTCAGTCTTTGGGTATTCACATTACAAATCCAAAACATACTTATGTAGTAATATAATCTTTTTCTTTAGTGTATGTGAATTTCTGACAAAACAGAAAGTAACATACAGACCAAAGGCTCCTTTCAGACATACACCTTGTTACATAAATATGATTTTACATGTTGGTTTCAACCCCTGAATAAGCTCCAGTCATTTTTATGTGAAGGTCGACAAGGTCAAATCTTTCTGCAACACTTTGAGAATGGCACAAGTTTGAACTGAATGCATGAAACTGAGCAACAGTCAGGTGAGAGCAAGTCTAGTGGAAACAGAAGCACAGAATTGTTTACGACTACGATGAAAGGCTGTTTGTCACAGTCTCTGAATTCACGGTTTTCTATGACGTGTCTTTAAATGAGATACCAGGACACTGAAAATTAAAACATCTCCAACGTTGGCGGTGGCTGATATGTCAGAAAACATTTGCGGATTTGGAGCGTAGTTTGTAAATAACATGCTCAACATACCCCCAGGTCTAAACATTCATGACCACATACTGCCAGCTACTCTGCATCTTTATATGTGAATGCGTCGTCAGACTTCAACTGCAAAATGAGCCCTGAAATCCTTCAGTGATGCAGAGAGAACTTGATATCATTACGTTTCTAGCTCGCTGCTGTTTTCCAGCACCGACACACACTTCCTTGTTGCTCACCAGATGCCAAATATCAAGCACTGTGACTCTGGATACCATCACTTTACCAGATGCTGTAGATACGGCCAACTATGAATTACATGTTGATAAACCTTAGATAAATATCAAGCGGTGTGATTGAAAATGTTCTTTAGGCTTGGCTTGAAATGTGACCATCTCGCCGCTTTTCTTGATCCAGACCTTGCAGCAACAAGAGTGCAAGCTGCTCTACAGTCGCAAAGAGGGCCAGAGAGCCGAGAACAAAAACAAGAACAGATACAAGAACATTCTGCCATGTGAGAAACACTCTCTGCTCTTTCACCAGAACAACCTCTCAGTTTAGAGTAGGGATCACCTGAGGGGATTTTGTTGACTGTTTGTTCCTTCTGTTTCCAGTCGACCACACGCGCGTGGTGCTGAATGATGGGGACCCAAATGAGCCAGGCTCTGACTACATCAACGCCAATATCATCATGGTAGTATCTGCTGTCATGGTAAACTCGCTGCATCCTCAGGGGATTCAAACACTCACTCACACACACACGAACACACATTTTTTCTGTACATGATAATATGTAAATGACTTTGATGTAGAATTATGTTAGTCAGATTCATCCCGTAGTTAGGCTGCTTTTGTGGTCACTCACTTCATGTTCTTGTTTTAACTCTGGACTGTGTTTTTCTCTTGTACACGGAATACTCAGCTGACTGTTGTGCGTGTGTATGTCTGCATATGTGTGCATGTGCAGCCGGAGCTGGACCCAAAGTGTAACAGTACAAAGCTGAAGAAGAGCTACATCGCCACTCAGGGCTGTCTGCAGAACACAATCAGTGACTTCTGGAGGATGGTGTTCCAGGAGAACTCGCGAGTCATCGTCATGACCACCAAAGAGGTGGAGAGAGGAAAGGTGAGCAACATTAGTAAGGGCTGCACTTAGGACTGGGTGATAAAACAATAAAGATAAAACTTTCTCTCCGGAGAAACTTAAGACATGGTCGATATAGTGTCGAGTAGCCCTCGTAATTTAATGTGGAAACACTTAAAACGTTGTATTACACGATGTTATACACGAATATATTAGCCAGCAAGTATTTTCTCTGTTAAGATGTGGTAGACTAACAGCATCCTGAGTGTGTTGTGATCCACACACAGGGCATCTCTCATTGCTCAGTCTCTCATTTGGTATCAATAAACACAACTGTGACAAATTGATTCTCTGTAGATCGTGTTTACTTATCGTTCCAAGTTGGTCTCATTAGACAGCAGCATCACAGGAAACGTGACAAAGTGAATGTTATTGTGTCTCAACAGAGCAAGTGTGTGAAGTACTGGCCAGACGTGTCGGCTCTAAAGGAGTACGGCGCCATGCGCGTTCGCAATGTCAGAGAGACGACTCCACACGACTACACCTTAAGAGAGCTCAAACTGTCCAAAGTCGGACAGGTAAGTTTTTGTAGGTGTATATGTATAAGCTAGTATAATTATCACTTTAATTAATAAGATATACTTTATTTGTCTAATACCTTTCATACAAGAAATTGAGGTTAAAGTGGTTCTAATATGAATTTTTTGATTGAATTCAAAATGTTTTGTTCTTATTGTAGAAAACATATTTTCTAATGGGTGAGGCATAATTATGAGGTCATAAAATGTAAGAAACAAACCCAGACTATCTAGGCAGAGTTGTTGCAGTTTTGTTTGATGGCACTGGTGGATGCTTTAAAGTTTACATTTTAATTGCACCCAATTCCTTAGTTGTTGTGACCTGTCCTTCATGGTCTATGTCATAAATTATCACTTCACGTGTTCTTAATATATCTTTTTAGAAAATATGTTATAGATGTGTATTAATGCATAAGGCTGGTGATTGTTGATTTTTGGTCTTTTCAAGTGAACAAAAATATAGACTGTGTTACTCCGTCTCTTATTGCTTTGACTTTTTCAGCTTGTCTCAGGCCATTGGCTCCTATTGATGAAATAAATCTTAATAAAACACGTCATAGATGTGAAGGCTCAGTAATATTTTCAATACAATTTTCACTGTAGTTTCTACTATGCATAACTAAAAACAGGAGCTATAAGTGTAAATTTCGACTGTTTCCTGAAGTAGATTAATCCACATTAGGTGCATTTACAAGTACCTGCTGCAGCAGGACAGTGTTTGTGGGATTGAGTCAAATCAAACTGCAGTGTGTGTTGATGACGATGAAGTCACATGAGCAACAGTGTGACTCACTGATGTTTTTATAAATCTTTTGGAGCTCTCTGGCTCAGAGGATCAGGTTTATTTAAGATCCCTTTATGGTGAAGTATAATTGTTGGTTTAGTCTTTTCATGTGATTTGTTAAGAATAAGAAAAATAAACTATATCACCAGACAAAATACACAATGATGATGCCAATTCAAAGTCTGTTCAGTGACTATGACAGACTCGACTGTACTGAAGCTTTGTGTCAAAGCGCTGCAGATTGAAAGCTGTTATCCTCCTGTGTGTGTTCAGGGAAACACAGAACGTACAGTTTGGCAGTACCACTTCAGGTCCTGGCCGGACCACGGCGTCCCCACTGACCCAGGTGGTGTACTCGACTTCTTAGAGGAAGTCAACCTGAAACAGGAGAGCATACTAGACGCTGGGCCTATAGCGGTACACTGCAGGTACACAAGCATGTCCGACACTTCAACAAGGCTTAAATGTTCTCCAGAGGACACACATGTCTAGAATAGAGGAGACAAAGACTTTGTCTTGTGTTTTGCAGTGCAGGGATCGGGCGGACGGGAACGTTTATAGTGATTGACATCCTGATAGATGTGATCCGAGAAAAAGGTGAGTGTGCGTGGTGCATTGTGCATTTCATGTGTCAATACAGTGATTCAATACAGTTCTGTGTACACTGTAGTACAGCGTGATCCAACACAAATGTTTGTTTTGGACACTGTTAAAAAGGTATTGATTCAATGAGGTTTTAGCAGTGAGGTCATGATGAGTGATGTTCACACACACACAACATGAATGTGAATATCTTCTCTCTGACCAGTTTACCTCAGTCATGTGAAGCGCTGTGTCAGAGTACAATGTTGTTTTTATGCTGCAGGGGTTGACTGTGACATCGACGTGCCAAAGACCATCCAGATGGTTCGTTCTCAGCGGTCTGGGATGGTGCAGACCGAGGCGCAGTACAGATTCATCTACATGGCTGTGCAGCATTACATAGAAACATTGCAGAGACGCATAGAGGAAGAACAGGTGTGCAGCAGACAACTCTTCACGTTTTTAGTCAGGCTTTTTTCCCTGCTCCTGTCTCTAACCCTACCCTGTTTCCTCTCTGCAGAAAAGTAAGATTAAAGGGCGTGAGTACACTAACATTAAGTACTCTATGTCTGACCTGACTGGGGGAGAGCAGAGTCCTTTGCCTCCTTGCACTCCTCTTCCTACTCCCACCTGCACAGAGTAAGTAATGCTGCTGCTAAATGGCTACTGTTAGGAGGCTTAAAGTTTTTATTGGGTCCTTGTTAAGAAAGTCTTGTTAGTACTTTCTTACTTGAGTGTGTGCATGTGTTGGCAGGATGAGGGACGACAGCTCCAGAGTGTATGAGAACGTGGGACTGATGCAGCAGCAGAAGAGCTACAGATGAGATTCACCTTTGACCCCAGTGCTCTTTCAGTTCCAGGTAAATACAACAACATATTGCTTATTGTATAAAACAAGTTCCTTTCTTTTTTTTTGTAAAAGCAACTTCAAAATCAAGCAGACAGATGCTGTGTAAAAACAGTGGATAGGTGGTGGCTACAAGAATACACTAATTAAAAAATAAAGCATAGAAATAAAATTCAAGTCTGTAAATTTATAAACTCATGGACAATCAGCTCCACTTCACATGTCATCTCTGTACCCTCACATAAACACTGTACATAAAGGCCAAAATCTGGATGAGAAAAACAATAAGGAGGCCTTAGTTCATTTAACAGAAAATATTAACAGAACAGAGGTTAGATAAACAAGATGCATCCTATTTAAATACATGTTTATCATGTATGTATCATTTATTTGATGAAAGTGAGAAAAATATGCATCTTGTATCTAATGTAAGCCAATGTTAGGTCAGGGCACAGGTCTCTCTGCAGGTGAGGTAAAAAAGTGTTAGTCAAGTATTTCCAGTTATTAATGTCATGTTCAATATTTTTCTGTCTCCTTCAGGATCTTGATACCTGACAGTTTATTCGCCAGCCACACCTTGACGCCTGAGACTTGACCGTAATGACATGGAACAATACACACACACACACACACACACACACACACACTCTTACACTCTCACACACTCACAGACTCACACACTCACTAACCCTCTCACACACACACACACACACACACACACACACACACACACGCACGCACACACACACACACACACACACACATGCACTATGAGAGAGACCAGGCTCCAGGGTCCTCCTGTTCTCGCTCATCTTCCATGAACATTGCCCTCTAGTTGAATTCTAAACCACTGTGATCATCGGAGGAGCCTTTGAGAAGCCTAAAACACTAAATCCCACTAAACCACAGTCTGAGTTTAGCCTTTGTCAATCTCACCTCAACAAGGGCTGCAAACAGTGAGCACTCTCCTCACAGGGAAAAAACCTAGCTAACCTTTGCTCAGCCCTCATTTTTCTATATTTAGTTTTTATTAACCAAAGGAAAGATTAGATTATGTTGTGTCAATGGAAGTGAGGAGTTTCCTCTATAAGGCCCGTATCAAACCACAAATGATTTTATTAACATTTCTCAGCCAATTTAAAGTCTCTATTTGGCCCGATGGCCTTTAAAGCAGTGGGAGACGAAACTGGGGCAAAACTTCCAGTGACTATTTTCCAGTTTTCACTGTGTTTATACAGAGCGATGTTTCTGAATGAAGAAGTATTGGCAACATTGTAGTGTAATATCATATTTACAGTTGATCTGTCGATTCATAATTCACTTACTTCTAAACATGAATACTTTTTGTGTGTGTGCCAGAACCGCCTTGAAGAGAAATTCAGGCTGTTCAGAGAATGAATTAACATTTCTTTTTTGTTTTCTACTTCACATGGGTCTAGTATGCTTTTGTTGGGATACACAGTGTCTGTTAGTTAACCATTCCTGAGCTCAAGCCTAATGTCCTTAATGCTGCACCTTTATTTAGCAGCTTAACAGTTACAGTCAAGCCTTGATTCACCGGGTGGATTTATAAATGATCTAATCTGCGGTTACTAAAGGAGTTTCGCAAGGGCGGGGGGGGGGCGTCCATATTTGATATTTGCCCACCCCCCTTTCATGCCTGCACTTCTATGTCAAAGTCAGTGAGTGACGTGTAAAGATTTCAGGGGAGTCTGTTGTGCATCTCTATTGCAGGCATCACTACAGACGCATGACTGCCAAAAACAAAACTTTTTTTTTGAGTGCATATTACCTTTTTTCATTCTTTCTTGTTCTTTTAAAGAAAAATGCCTTTTGTGTACCATTGCCTATTTTGAGCACTACATGTACTTAAGTTTAAGAGTAACTGTTTTAAAAAGCAATCACACATCTCCCAGCCTTGGCAGCATAGACGGCCATTGTTGTGGTTATAGAATGTTGGGCCTGTTATAGTCAGCTGGATTCACACACACACACACACACACACACACACACACGTATACACGTATACACGTATACAGTTTTCAAGAGGAGAGTGTTTTCTTGTTTTCTGTTAACCATTTAAATGAATCGTGTAATATTTTGGGAATTCACTCATCCCTTTTTCTTCAGTCAGATGAGACGAGGGACACCGCTCTCATGTTCGTGCGCTGAATATGAAGCCAGCCAGCAGCCTGGTGTATTAACATAAAGACTGATAAAGTGGGTGACAGTCCAAAGGCGACAGAGAGACTCTAGTAGAAACTCTTTGTAAAAAAAAAAAATAAAAAAAACCACAGCTTTTCTGTTTTTGTACGGAATACACAAGCAAACTATCAAGTGTTAATTGGGGAGTTTTAGAGTGGGGTGCTAAATAGAAAAACAAGTCTATCTAGAAAAGAGGATCAAAACCACTCTTGTGGGTGTGCTAACCATTAAGCCACGCCCAGCGGCTGATTAGCATAGCATAAAGAAGCACAAAGATTGGAACAAGGTCCACCCATCGGCACCTTCTAAGCTCTTGAAATAATGGTCGTTCAGGCGTCGAGATGAAGCTCGGCTAGCTGTTTCCTATATAAGCTCAGCTGATTGGCCTCATATGTACAAACATGAGAGTGGGATCAAGCTTCCTGTATTCACTTTATACAAGAAAGCAGGTTTCCCAAGATGTTAACTGTTCTTTTAACTTCTCAATCAGTTGCAGTATTTGGGGATGTTGAATATTTTGTATTCTAGTGAAAAACACACTCACACTTACTCATTTCAAACATGTGGCCTAAGTATTTTCATTTGTCAAGCCTTCCCAGCTTCTGCACATTGGCTCACCATCACTCGCCTTGAGAAACTGCAGTCTTGTGATTGAACTTACTGTAACAGTGCTGACTCAGAATCACTCAGTTAAAGAAAAGGGAAGCAGCGGCTCTTTTCTTTGCCTTCGAGGGACAGTTCTCAACCACCACTGATCCAGGATTGAACAACCTCTTTGTGCAACATAAAAACTCATGAAATCAGTGTTTTGTTTTTTTTTCCGGGGCTGCTTCCTCCCCCTGGAGGACTCTGCTTATAACATTCGTCTGCTGCTTCACAGCAAGTGTTCTTTGAAACTTCTCCCTGGCGAACGCCATCCACTGACTGAGTTAATGAGATCTGTGGTGTGGTTTTCTGTATGCAGTTTTATCGTCGAATGGATGACTTTGTCTAATGTTTAGTGGAGTGCATGTCTGTGGCGTTTTGTGTCCTGAGTGTGTGTGCAGGGGTGAGTGAATGTGCTGTGAGAGTGTGGCTTCCTTTTCAGCCTTTAAGTTCTACTTTCTTTCCCCGCAGATGATAAAACTGCTTTCCATTTATCATGTAAGCAATTTAGATGCATAGATGTGCCTTCTATGCATATGCCTATGTGTATGTGATAGGTATTACAAAGAAAACAGTGCTCTTTAGTTTCCACCGCCATTCAAGAACCTGTAACACTTAAATGTGAATTCTTTCATCCTGAACATCCTGAACAAAAAAGGAAAAATGGTGATCGTGATGCAAACAAACTATATTTTTTAACATGTATATTGTACATGAGTACCAGGTAGAGGAGAATGTACTTACTAAAACATATCTACTTGCCAATAAGATATACTGTATGTATATTCCTACAGCTTTCTCTCTGTGACACAGAGAGGGACCTCTCACAAAGCTTAAGAGGTTTATTGTATGACTTTCAATGCAGTTAACCACGTTAACTTCCTCATTAACAATAAATGGCTAGCTCATGCCTCATTAACTTTTTGTCTGTTTTTGTGTGATTTACTCCTTTGTGAAGTTAGATTGTTCTCAATGTAGGCACAAGATGGAAATGTTTCATTTCAATACTTGCGTTTCAAGTTGATGATCGGTTTGTAATTTACATGTGTCAACGAGATGATAGATACGATTCTTGTTACTGTGAAGGTGAATGTGACCTAAATCGAAATGATTTTTGTAATTTAAGGTGAAGTACACGGATGTGTCAGTTTGCCGTAACTTACAGAAGTTTATTTTTCGTTGTGGGAACTGTTGTTTCTCTATAATATTGAACGGTCTCCACATTTCCGCTCTGTAAAGTGCCTTGAGATAACGTGTGCTGTGATTTGACACTATGCAAGTAAAATTGAGAGAGAAATTGACATACTATATATGGATTATTCAAGAGTGGAGTCTTTCAGTTTGAGAGCAGGACTTATTGATCTCAAGCACAGATTTTGTAATGCTTTTACTCAAACCCTGCGCTGGCAGTCAAATATACCCTGCAAGGGTGGGGCTATACGTGGCATTCTACGTTTGGGGAATTCCGACAGACTTGTTGCACAAACAAATCTGTGAGCAGAGGAGATATTTTTAATGTGCACAAAAGCAGCATGGGCAGGAAATGCAAGTGCACAATTTGAGCACAAACAGAAGCATTTGAGTAGATGGCAGGGCTTCGCTTCAGAGCATTACCGGCTTTCAAACTGAAAGACCACACTCTTGAATGATGATAGAAAAATAAACAATACTAGCACCGTTGACAATTCATAGATGAAACAACTGAAGTGGTTGAAATACTGAGGGAAGTTGAAGTGGTCAAAATAAAAGTGAAATGAATAAAGAAGTGCAGAAACAAGTTGGAAGTATCTAGCAGAAACGCTGAATGAAGTTGAAAGTTAGGTACAAGTACAGAATATCTGAATTTAAATCAGTCAGTGTTGGTTTAAGTGTAAGCACGGACGAGACAACAAAAAGTTGAAATGTCAGTAAAAAAAAAAGATTTAAGTAGAAGAAATATTAGGAGAAATGTGAAAGCAGTTGAAATGATGAGAAATCAACAATTCAGGTGGACAGACAGCAGCTGAAATATTGGTTTACAATCTCAGTCAGTTCATGAGTCGTGGATCAAAGTATTAGCAGCTGAAAAGTCACGAAAAGTGTAAATTGTTAATGTTAAAAAACTGTTGCATTTTGCTTTAAAAGACAGCAATTCAAAAACCCATGTGGCATGTTGGGGAAACGTGCAGTTAATAAGAGTAGGAATGGTTCCGAATTAGAAAGCACACAGAAAATAAAACCAAAACACAAGTTAAAATGATCTATGACCTCTCCTTTCTTCTCTGTTTGCCATAGTGATTTGATTAGATAGCTTTTTGTTATAAGTGCACTACACCTCATCTGGAGACCCTTAAGCACTGAACAGGGACATTAGTTTAAACTAATCCTGTTTGCCTCACAGGACCAAGCACAATCAGACATGAGCTCAGCTTAATGTGATTAATGACATCTGGCCAGAACACGAGACAGACCTGAGAAACATGGGACTAAATGAACTGACAACAATTTCCTTTACTTATTTATGTGTAACACACTTCTGTTCTTAGTTGGATTCATTTTTCATTCATTTGTTTTGTATTTCCCACCATGTACTCTTCCATTATTTGGACTGGCCAAATATTTAAGTGCAATATAGTTTATTTTCATGTCTAATTATCTTCCATGTATTATGGTTTCTGGTTTTGTAGAGAGGATTGGAAACGTGCAGTGTTTGTTTCTGGGCAGGAGGAGATCAGCACAATACCACAGTGCGAGGTGGGATAACCAAGCTGGCAAAGCAAGCAGCTGACCAGGGGCCTCAGACCTCCAGGGGCCCCTGGAAACACCAGATTCACACCACATCTTTTGGATTTTGCTACATAATTTGATTAATTAGATTTGACACCACTGAAACACAATATCAGCTCTGTGTGCTTCTGCATCTTCAGTCTCTTGTCATGTACAAGGACTGTGTCAGGATCTAGATTTAGCACCTGAACTGTTTCACTTTATACAGAGTAACATTTTGCTTTAACAAATAACTAATCCATCACATACTATGAAGCTGCAACCAGTGATTCATTTTAGGATCAATATGAATATTTGGTAACACTTTATATTAGGGAACACACAAAGTGAACATATCCAAGCACTTGATTGTAATTCATGGACAACAACTTCCTGACTTACCATCAATAAGCAGTAATTAGGAGGTTATTAAGGGAAAACTGTTAATCAATGGAGTAGTTGCAGAATAAGGTCATTAAGAATAAGGCATTA